TACCCTCGGCTATCTCACATATATCTGCCCCAAGGTACAGATGCTGAGGTCTTGACATAGCATAATATAGATCTAAATATATTTTCCAGATTGCCTTAGCACATGCTAATGAAAGTGAGGAGAAAAGACCTGAAAGAAGCAGCTGTTTAAAATTTTCTTCAATCCCAGAAAATCAACTTCTTAATTACTGATAATTTAAGCATCAAAATGACCACTCACCCTCTTCTCCCACTAGACCGTCCCAAGCTGGGAGGCCTGCTTTAAGACTCTCGGGCAGAATTTTTTCTTAGAAGTGTAGTATTTCATCACATTTCTTCAGCTTCTCTGGAATTAATTGTATTAAAATAAAGCAGAAAAAAGGAGGGTGCCTTCTTTCAGACCCTCTGCTCAGACAGATGGAGCAGATACTGCTAGAGCTCCTACCCAGCACGTTATACGAGACTACTTTTATACTTCCGCCGCACCTTTCATAATAAGAGGTTCCCAAAACTTCCCCAAATGGATTTATAGGTATAAATAGCTTCAACTGCCATTAAAATATGGATGCTCCTGTATCAAAAAAAAAAGGAGCCTCTGCTTCCAGCTCGTGGTGGCAAAGGGATCTGTGTTCAGCCTGGTTTATGGTCATATCCAGGGGGGCAACCAGTCCCAAGCAAAGTTTAGGTGGTAGTTTTGGGAAAAAGGCTTCGGTCTTGCGAGACGTACCAAGAGTTCCTGAATCACTGCGTGGCAGTGGGGCCTCTTTTCAGGGGTTATTTAAATGTTAGTCTGATTAAACTCTGAATTCTGGGAAAACAGTAAATTTTGCTGAAAATTGTTTTCCTCTAGCAGCAAATGAATCTAAGTTGGGAAAAATATGAAGGAAAAGGAAAGGAATACAGTACTTTTTTTTTTTTTTTTTTTTTTACTTTTTAATGTTCTCCCCTTCACCCTCTCCCCAGACTTCATTAAGTGACTCTGAATTGTAAAGGTGAGCCTTTCCTAAAGCTGGCACCATTTTCTGTATAGAAACAAAGAATTAATTAATTGGGCTGTTGGAAGCCACAGCCTAGGTATGCTCACAAACCTACATGGCCGTTCAACGGGATGGGAAAGAGGATGGGTTTGGCCAGGTTGCGAAATACATTTTTCTTATAACTGGAGTCCTGGCAAGGTACGTGGACTTCAACATGGAGAAAGGGTCACCTGTTTGGTGCTGGATGCCTTTGTTTTGTTTAAGTCATTACTGGAAGCATCTTCAAAATGAACTAGCTTTTCTGTGCCACTATCTGACTGACCAGCAAAACCACAAGTGAGACTTAATATAGCTGGAAGGCAGCAGAGCGCAGTGAAATCATCCAGGAGTTTGCAGCAATTCTCCGTACGTCTGAGCAAGAAGGACCTGACAGAAAGTTTTAAAGTTCAAGACATTCACGGAGCAATGGGCCAAACCGAATCACTGAGCAAAAGCAGACTCGCAAATGTTTTTATAATAGCTTCCCCTCCCATTACTCCACAAATGCAGCTGTTAACGCAGTAAAACAGCAGGGCTGACACAGGAACAGCGGCTCAGACCTGCAGTGGTATTGAGGATCTGGGACAGGGTGAAATATTGATTAATCATCTTGTCATGCTGGTGCTTTGTTAGATTCTGCAGATAGGAATTGAGGTGGTAATATACAGCTCCTTTGTCTAGTAAGGCTGCTGTATCACATGGGAATGATTTGTTGACTTATGGAAAACTACTCCAGTGGAGTGAACAGTAGGATGATGCTGAAATAAGCTGAAGGGTTTTTTTAAGAAATATTGAAATTATTTTGTTCTAAAAAGAAAAAAAATAATCACTGTAGCAGAAAGCCAGAAACATTGGTCCTCCCTTAGCAATCTGTTTGCATCTGGACAAGTGCATCTGTACGGCCCGTTGGGGAGGGTATGACACAAACACTAAAATTATCCAGTTTTCTTTGTTTATTTGGGGGATGAGGCCGCTAATGAAATCTGGGTTTGCTTTTCAGCTATTCCTCTGAGTGAATAACTCTGCCATTAAGAAAAGGCAATGAAAATCAAGGTCACGGTAAGGTATCTACATGGAGTTGAATGATATGTTTTGCCCCCTCTGCTCATCGCACCCCATAGGCAGTGCCGCTGGGTGGGATACTTTGACATAGTTTACTGGTGGACTTGGCAGTGCTAGGTTAACGGTTGGACTCGATGATCTTAAGGGTCTTTTCCAACCTATTTTATGATTCTCTGACATGAAAATACAAAGCTCAAGGCTCTCAACAGGAACATCAGCCTGGGGGATTCAATGAGGCGGTGGCAGCCGCTCCCTCATGGTCAATAGACCTGGTTATGCGCAGGTTAAACTAACCCTACGGCTCAGCTCAAGGAGTACTTTCCTTGACAGTTATATGATGGGAGTGTGCTACCATAACCCCGAACATTAAACTCAGGAGAAACCGTGCCACCCTTTCTCCACTTCCCAAAACCCCTTTCATCTAGGGCAGGTGAGGGCAGAGCTGATAAGAACTGTCATTGCATCAAATTAAAGGGGAAAACAATCTGGAAAGTTGTTTGCAGATAAAACTTGACTTGATTAATCTATTTGTTCTCTTTATTTGGCAGAAACCTAAAACCAAGTTTCACGGTGACTTTAATTGCACTAAAAATAATAGCCTATTTATGCAATTATCTGCATGTACCTGACCATTGGCTCAGGCCAATGAAGTGAGCACAAGAACATGCACACAGGCTTTTTTTTTTCCTTTTCTTTCTTTTTCCAGGTGTGGTTTAGGCTTCGTGCATGGAAACCACTGGCCTGTAGGTCTCAGCTTGCCATCAACCTGTGCGTGAGGCTCAGGAGCTGTAAGAGCACAGCAAAGGCAGCCCACCCCTGTCCTCGCTGGGTTTGGATTCAGCCCTGCCGATGCCCCTGTTGCTACATGATGGTTATAAAACAAGTCAAACCATAGCTGGGCTGAAGACAAGAGTGACACATAGAGGGTATTCTGAAATGTAACTTAAGGATCTGGTGAGCTACAAGAGGTCTTCGTGTACTGAAACAGGCCGAGAGAGGAGCACTCCTTGCCTTTGGAGGTACTTTTTGCTTCAGTGGAGCCAGATTTAACCAAAACTTCCACAAACCATATTCCCTAAATGTGCCTTTCCCACTGGGGCGGTGCATCATTTAATATGCAGTTTGTTACTGACTGCCCTGGGCTGCTGATACCCAGCGCTGTGCTCCCTCATTGCCTGCTCATGGCAGCTCGCTTGCATCTGGCGATAGCAATCCTTGGTCCCACTGCACAAAAAGACTCCAGAGTGTGCCACATTCACTCTTTCAAGCCACTTAAATGTGAAGGACACCCTTGTGCAGTAGCTGCAAAGACCAAGCTTGGACAGGGGTGGCAGGCAGGGACATCCCCATGGTCCCATTTGGAGCTGTCTCAGTCCTTTTCTCTCTGCTGATGGGAAGAGCAGGAAAACGTGCATTGCCTGGGCCAACGCTGGCTTGTCTGGACGTCCCACCTCCCACCGCTCTGCAGATTGTCCAGAAGAAACAGGGCTTTGGACTTGATTTCAAATGATACGCTCAAAATATTCTTTTTTTTTTTTTCCCCTTTTAGACCCTAAAGGCTCATGTCATGCAGTTGGAAGCCCATTTAGCTTCTTAACTATGGATTTTTATCATTCTGGTGAGTCCACGTTTTGCTATTAGCCAGCCAAGCCACTGCTTCCCGTCATCGTCCCCACGAGCAGCAGGCAGGTGCATCACCAGCCCGAGCTCAAGGCTCCACAATGTTCAAGGTGACCTTGCACCAGTCCCTCCGGTAAAATGAGCGAACTATTTCTCTTCCAATGTAGTGTTTTGAAGCTTAAAGGACTGATCTAAAACCCTCCAATGGTCTTTTGAGAGACTCTGGATCAGGCCCTAAACCACACGACCAAGCCCAAGATGCTTCGCAGTGCCCCATCCTCCAGTTACCCTCATCCTAATGACCCCGCAGACAGAGTCTTTGCTCCCCAGGCTGCAGACGAAATACACCATTTATGCCCTGAGCCAGACAAAACCAAGATAATAAGGAAAAAGATCCCTTCAGTTTTGTAGTCCTTTATTTTTTTTTTTAAGTTGATCCTCCCATAGTAATGTACTGAAATGCGTAACAGTTACATTGTACAAAGCATTTAAAGAAAGTACCTCAACTTGCCGATTATTTCAAAATGAGATTATAAACAAAAGGAAAAATAAATCTGGTCCCTCACTAAAGGCCAAAAAAACCCCCAAAAAATAACTGAATACCTTCCGTTATTTATTTATTTTTTTTAAACATAAATTTGGAACACTTCATCTTACAAATAGGATTAACATGAACATAACATCACACAAGCTCGCAGACAACCAGCATAAAATATTGGGTACAGTTTTTTAATCAGAAGAATCATGCTTTCATGAAGAAATTATAACTGTTTATACAATTGAATCAATTTACTGTATTACAAAAAAAAACTAAGTCGCATCTATTAGTTATTTAGTTCATTAAAAGGCAAAAATAAAATAAAAGAGGAATGTAAGAAAATTTCAAACACTGTTTTGCACTCCCATATACACAGATCAGTTCACCTCACTTTTTTGAAGTACATGGGTGCCTTACATCGTAACGCAGTGGGGGACTGGAGCAGTGCTGTTTGTTACAGGAACAGTGCTATTTTAATCAACAAACAATCGTTTGCCAACAAATAAATACATGGTACACACAACACAAAGGAAAAATTAGAGGGTAGCGGGGAAAGGAAACAATACAACAAAATAGTGACATGATTGTCGAAAATTAAAATCTCCTTACAATGATTTGAACTAGTGGTGCTGTGGATGAACGCGGTGCTTTCACGGAATTATCTGGATGATTTAGCTTCTTGGAGTAGTGAACATTCATAGTTTACAATATACACAAGGCTCTTATGTATTGTTTCTCAGAGTTCTTTTTTTTTCTTTCCTTTTTTTTTTCCTTGTTTTTCCTTTTTTTTTAACAATGCAGTTGAGAAGGCAAAAGAATTACGGAGAGAACAAAATATTCCCTGTTACTTCTTTCTACGTTTATGATGGATAGTGTGCATTTGATAGAACTATTTTCTTTCTTTGAAGGGCTAAAATGCATAAAGCTTTAATGAAGAGATTTGTACATAAAAGCAACTGTTCCCAATCCCGTGTCAAACTATCTTATACAAAAAGAAAATCAATTCAGTTCCTACTTTAAAGGAGTGCCCATGTGTGTATCAATGCAGTCTTAACCCTTTTGCCCCTGCCCCTCAAAGCCGGGTGAACTGGAAGACACTTTTTCCCGGCCCCGGTTTACATAATCCACTGAAACTTTTTTTTTTTTTAAGTCGCATTGATCCTCCAGAAGTCAGCAGCTGCCTTTGCTGTGCAAAACAAAATATTGAGAATAAATAGTTTCTTTCTTTTTAAAATTATTCAGTTTAAGGTCACCGGACTTTAAATGAGTGACCCTGCAGATTTATAAGGCATTCTGCTCAGCAGTCTTTTAAATAGTCATATATGAAAGAGCCATGCTACTGGTTTGGACTTGGTCCCATTCTCGGTAAGACTTCACAATGTCATACGTGACTGATGGATTGAATGGCGCTGGATTCTGCGGCGGCTCTCGCCATACTGTGCCACATATTGGGAGAATTGTGGGATGCGGAATGAAGGGAGTCCTTGTCGGAGAGAGAGAGCATCATCGCATACGCCTGGACGGGGAAAGAAGGACAAAGAGGTCATGATCCCATGGCGCGGAT